GAAAGATAAGGAAAAGTTTACAGATGACAGTGTAACGTCATCAAGGAGAGAATCAGATAAAGCAAAGAAGAGAAACCAAGAACTGCAGAAGATGAAGAACTTTATCAAGAAATAAAAAAAAGAAGAAAGAAAAAGAAAGGTCAAAGGAGTTACAGATACAGTGAAACGTCATCAAAGAAGAAAATCAGAAAGAAAAAAAAAGAAGAAGCAAAACAAAGAAAAGGAAGAAGAACAAAAGAAAGAAACTTTATCAAAGAATAAAAGAAAATGCTGCAAGGAAATAAGGTCAAAAGCAGGAGAGATGAAGGTGAGAAAAGTCATCAAGACCAAGAATCCAGAATAAAGTTCAAAGAAAAGAAAACCAAGAAAATGAAGATGAGAGTAACGTCATTATCAAGAAAGAAAGAAAAAAAAGAACTATGAGAAATAAAAAAGCAAAAGAAGAAGAAAAGTAAGTTAAGATGACAAGTAGAGAAGAAATCAAGAAAAATCAAGAAAAGCAAAGAAGATATGAAACCAAGAACTTCATAAGGAGAAAGAACTTTATCAAGGAATGAAAAAAAAAGAAGAGATTTGAGAAATAAAAAAGAAGAAGAAATTCTTTATGACAGTGTAACGTTATCAAGAAGAGAAAAAGAGAAAACCAAAGAAGAGAAAAAAAGATTAAAAGAAAGCAAAAAAAAGATGAGGACTTTATCAAGAGAAATAAAAAAGAAAGAAAAGAAGAGAAAAGAAGAAAAGTTACAAAGAAGTGTAAAATCAAGGACAAAGAAGATAAAAGAAGAAGAAAACCAAGAAGAGAAGAAAAAAGAGAAAGAAGAAGAAAGAAAAAAAATATCCAAAGAAGAAAGAAAAAAAAATGACAAGAAAAGATAAAGGAGAAGAAAAAGATAAAAGAAAGAAGAGAAAGATGAAAATATCAAGAAGAGAAAAATAGAAAATCAGAAAAGAAGACAAAGAAGAGAAAATGAAAAAAGAAAAAAAAAAGCTTCAAAGAAGAGAAAAAGAGAGAAAGCAAGAAGAAGAAAAATATCTCAAAAAAAGAAAGATGAAATAAGAAGAAAGAGAAAATATGAAAAAGAAAAGAAGAGAAATTTTGAAAAGAAAAGAAAAGAAAGAAAAGAAGAAGAAGAAGAAAATCAAAAAAAGAGAAAAAAGTAAAAAAGAAGAGAAGATAAAAGAAAGAAAAGAAAAAGAAAATAAGAAAAGAAAAAAGAGAAAAAAAGAATTCAAAAAAAGAGGAGGAAAAAGATGACAAAGGTAAAAGAAGAAAAAAAAAGATAAAAAAAGAAGAAGAAAAAAGAAAAAAAGAAAAGAAAAGAAAAAAAAGAAGCAAAGAAAAAAGAAAAAAAGAAAGAAAAAGAAGAGAAAAAAATAAGAAAAGCAAAAGAAAGAAAGGAAAGGAGAAGAAGAAAAAAAAAGAAAAGAAAAGGAAAAAAAAAAAAGAAAAAAAGGAGAAAAAAAAGATGAAAGATGAAAATCAAAAGAAAAAAAGAAAAAGAAGAAAAAAAAAAAGAAAAAAGAAATGACAGAAAGAGGAAAGAAAAGAAAAAATGAAAACAAAGTTGGAGAAAAAGAAAAGAAAAAAGTACAAAGAAGAGAAAAGAAAATAGGAAGAAAAGAAGAAAAAAAAGAAAAAAAACAAAGAAAAGAAAAAAGAAAGAAAAATATGAGAAGAAGAAGAAGAAGAAAATAAGAAAAAGCAAAGAAAAAACAGAAAAAAGAAAAAGAAAAAAATAAGAAGAAAGAAAAACGTTATCAAGAGAAAAAGCAAAAAGAAGAGAAAAAAAAAAGAAAAAAGAAAGGAAAAAGAAAGATCAAGGAAATAAAAAAAAAGAAAAGAAAAGGAAGAAAAAAGAAGAAAAAGTGTAAGAAGAAGAGAAAGAAGAAAAAAAGAAAAGAAAGAAAATGAGAAAAGCAAAGAAGAAGAAAAAAAAGGAGAAAAAAAAAAAAAAGAAAAGCAAGGAAGAAGAGAAAAAGAAAAGAAGAGAAACAAAAAGAAGAGAAAGAAAAAAAAAGAAGAGAAAAAAAAAGAGAAAAAAGAAAAAAGAAAGAAGAGAAAAATGAGAAATAAAAAAAGAGAAAAAAAAGGAAAAAGTTAAGAAGAGAAAAAAGATAGAAGAAAGATAAAAGAAGAGAAGAAAGAAAAGAAGAAGAAAAAAAATGAAAAGAAAAAAAGAAAAAAAAAAAGTCAAAAGAAGAGAAAAATACAAAAAAGAAAAAAAGAAGAAAAAAACAAAAAGAAAAGAAGAGAAAATAAGAGAAAAAAAAAAAAAGAGAAAGGGAAAAAAAGAAAAGAGAAAAAAGAAGAAAGAAAAGAAAAGAAGAAAAAAAAAAGCAAAAAAAAAAAGAAAAAGAAAAAGAAGAGAGAAAGAAGAGAAAAATAAAAAAAAAGAAGAGAAAAGAAAAATAGAAAAGAAAAGAAGAGAAACCAAGAAAAAGAAAGAAGAAAAAAATATGAAAAAGAAAAGAAAAAGAGAAAAAAATGAGAAAAAAAAAAAGAAGAAGAAAACAAAAAAGATGAGAAAGAAAAAAAAGAGAAAATAAAAAAAAGCAAAAAAAGAAAGAAGAAAAAATGAAAGAAGAGAAAAATAAAAAAAAAAAGAAAAAAAGAATGAGAAAGAAAAGAAAAAGAAAGAAAAAAAAGAAAGTCAAGAAAGAAAAATCAAAGGGAAAGAAAAGAAGAGAAGAAAGAAGAGAAAACAAATCAAGAAAAAAAAAAAAAAAGCAAAGAAGAGAAAAGGTCAAGGAAAAGAAGAGAAAAAAAAAAGAAGAGAAAATGAATAAAAAAAAAAGAAGAGAAAAAAGAGAAATGAAGAAGAATAAGAAAAAAAAAAAGAGAAAATGATAAAAAAAGAAAAAGAAGAGAAAAAGAAGAGAAAGCAAAGAAGAGAAAACAAAAAAAGCAAAAGAAGAGAGAAAATATGAAAAAGAAAAAAAGAAAAAAATAGAGAGAAAAAAAAAGAAGAGAAAAAGGAGAAAAAGAAAAGAAAAAAAGAAGAAAAAAAAAAAGAGAAAAAAAAGAAGAGAAAATGAGAAAAGAAAAGAAAAGAAGAGAAAAAAAATAGAAAGAAAAAAGAAAAAAAAAAAAAAAAGAAGAAAAAAAAAGGAGAGAAAAAAAAAGAAGAGAAAAAAAAAGAAAGAAAGAAAAATAATGAGAAAGAAAAGAAGAAAAAAGAGAAAAAAAAAGAAGAAAAAAAAGAGAGAAAAAGAAAGAAAAAGAAAAAGAAGAAAAAAAAAGAGAAGGAAAAATGAGAAAGAAAAGAAGAGAAGGAGAAAATAAGAGAAAATATGAAAGAAGAAGAAAAATAAGAAAAAGAAAAAGAAGAGAAAATAGAAAAGCAAAAGAAGAGAAAAAAATAAGGAGAAAGAAAAGAAGAGAAAAATATGAGAAAAGCAAAAGAAGAGAAAATAGAGAGAAAAGCAGAAGAAGAAGAGAGAAAGAAAAGAAAAAAAAAGAAGAGAAAAAGAAGAAAGAAAAAAGAAGAGAAAAATAGAAAAGAAAAGAGAAAACAAAAAGAAGAAAGAAAAGAAAAAAAGAAAAGAAAAAGAAAGAAAAAAAGAAGGAAGAAAAAGAAGAAAAAAAGACAGAGAAATTGAAAGAAGAGAAAAATGACAAAAAAGAAGAAGAAAAATACAAAGAAATAAAAAAGAGAAAAAAGATGAAAGAAAAGAAAAAGATGAGAGAAGAAGATAGGAGAAAAGAAGAGAAAAGAAAAATGAAAAACCAAAGAAGAAGCAAAAGATGAAAAGACAAAGAAGAGAAAAGAGAAAAGAAAGAAAAAAAAGATATGAGAAAGAAAAGAAAAGCAAAAAAATGAGAAAAGAAAAGAAGAGAAAAATAAGAAAAAAAAGAAGAAGAAGAAAATGAGAAAGTTAAAGAAGAGAAAAAGGGAGAAAAAAGAAGAGAAAAAGATGAAAGAAAGAAAGAAAATAAAAAATGAAAAAAAAGAAGAGAAAAATAAGGCCAAAGTTAAAAAGAAGAGAACGGCGGGAGAAAAAAAAGAAGAAAAAAAAAAAAAAAGCAAAGAGAGAAAAAGAAGAAAAAGAAAAAAAGAGAAAGAAAAAAGAAAGAAAAATGACAAAGAAAAAAGAAGAGAAAATCAATAAAAGAAAGAAGAAAAAAAAGAAAAGCAAAAAAGAGAAAATATGAGGAAAAAAAAAGAGAAAAAGACATCCAAAAAGATGAAGAGAAAATATGAAAAGCAAAGAAGAAAAGAAGAAAAAGCAAAGAAGAGAAAAAGGAGAAATAAAAAAGAAGAGAAAAACAAAAAAGCTCAAAGAAGAGAAAAAGATGAGAAAGCAAAGAAAAGAAAAAGAAAGAAAAAAGAAGAGAAATATGAAAAGAAGAAGAGAAAAGAAGAAAAAAAGAAAAAAGATGAGAAAGCAAAGAAGAGAAAAAATGAGACAAAAAAAAAGAAGAGAAAATTGAAAAAGAAAAGAAAGAAAAAATGCAAAAAGCAAGGAAGTTAAAGATGAAGTGTAACGAAAGAAGAGAAAAAAATCAGATAAAAGCAAAGAAGAAGAAAAAGAAAGAAAGGGGAGGAGAAGAGAAAAAATAAAAAAAAGAAAGGAAAGAGATAAGGTCAAAGTTACAAAACAAAGAAGATCAAGAAGAATGAAAAAGCAAAGAAGAAGAAAAAGAACTGCAAAAAGATGACAGACTTTAGAAGAAAAAAAAAATGCAAAGGAGAGAAAAGGTCAAAGTTAAGAGATGAGTGTAAATCAAAGAAGAGAAAAAGAAAGAAAGAAAAAAGAAAAAAAGAGAAAAAGAGAAGAGAAAGGAGAAAGCAAAGAAGATGAAAAACAGAAAGAAAGGAAAATAAAAAAAAGAGAAAGGAGAAGAATCAAAGAAGAAAAAAACTGCCAAGGAAAGAAAAAGAGAAAAGAGATGAAAGTGTAACGTTATCAAAGGAGAAAATCAGATAAAAGAAAGAAAGAAAACCAAGAAGAAAGAAAAATGAGAAAAGAAAAATAGAGGAAGTAAAAAAAGAAAAAAATCAAGGGAAAAAAAGAAAGAAGAGAAGGTCAGAAAGAAAGAAGAGAAAAAAGTGAAAGGAAGTCAAAGAAGAAAGAAAGAAAAAAAGATAAAGAAAAAGAAGAGAAAAAGAAGATGACAAAACTTTATCAAAGAAATAAAAAAAGGGAAAAAGATAAAGAAAGATGAAAAAGAGAGAAAGATAAAAAGAAGAGAAACCAAGAAAAGAAAGAAGAGAAGACTATATAAAAGGAAATAAAAAAAAGACAGAAAGAAATAATCAAGTTACAAAGAAACGTTATCAAGAGAAAATGGGATAAAGCAAAGAAAAGAAGAAAGAAGAAGAGAAATCAAGAAAGAAAAAAAAAAAGAATAAAGAAAGAAGAGAGGATGACAGTGTAAAGAAAGAAGAAGATCAAGAAAGGAAAAAAAAAGAAAAACAAAAAAGAGAAAGCAAAACAAGAAGAGAAATGACAAAGAACTTTATCAAAAAAGACAGAAAAAAAAATGAGAAAAAGACAGATAAGTAAAAAAGAGAAAATGACAGTGAAATTAAGAAGAGAATCAGATAAAAAATATGAGAAACAAGAACTGCAGAAGATGAAAAAGACATCAAGAAATAAAAAAAGAGAGAAAGGAAGATAAGGTCCAAAGTTACAGATGAAAAGTGAAAGATCAAGAAAAATCAGATAAAAAGAAAAGAAAAACCAAGATAGAAGATGAAGACTTATCAAGAAAATAAAAAAAGAAGCAAGAAATAAAGGTCAAAAAGTTACAGATGAAGAAAAACGTCAGAAAAAGGAAAAAAAAAGATAAAAGCAAAAAGAAACCAAGAACTGCAGAAGATGAAAGACTTTATCAGAGAAAAAAAAAATGCTGCAAAGGAAGATAAGGAGAGAACAGATGAGTGTAACGTTATCAAAAAAGAAGAGATAAAAAAGAAAGAAACCAAGAAAAGAAGAGAAAACCTTATGAAAAGAAAGAAGAGAAAATATGTAACGTTATCAAGGAAAAAATAAAGAAAAGAAGAGGAAAAGAGAAAAGAAATAAAAAAAGCAAAAGAAGAGAAAAAGATGAAAAAGAAGAAAAAAAATGATCAGAAAGCAAAAGAAGGAAAAAAGAACAAAGAAGAGAGAAAGAAGAGAAATAAAAAAAACCAAGAAAGAAAGAAGAGAAAATATAACGAAAGAAAGCAAAGAAAACCAAAAGAGAAAAAAGAAGAGAAAAGCAAGATGAAGTTATCAAGAGAAAATGATAAAAGCAAAAAGAAAGAGAGAAAGAAAGACGAAAAAGATAAAAAAGGAAGAGGATAAAAAGACAGAAAGAAAGAAGAGAAAAAGACAGAAAGATAAAGAAAAGAAAAACCAGAATGAAAGAAGAGAAAAAGACAAGAAAGAAAAATGCAGAAAAAGATAAGAAAAAAGAAGAGAAAACAGTAACGAAAGAAGAGAAAGATCAGAAAAAGCAAGAAAAAAGACAGAACTGCAGAAGATGACAGACTTTAAAGGAAATAAAAATGCTGAAAGGAAGATAAGGTCAAGAGTTACAGATGACAGTGTAACGTCATCAAAGGAAAGAATCAGATAAAGAACAAAAGAAGAGAAACCAAGAACACAGAGATGACAGACTTTATCAAAGGAAATAAAAAAAAAATACTGCAAAGGAAGATAAGGTCAAGAGTTACAGATGACAGTGTAACGTCATCAAGAAGAGAATCAGATAAAACAAAAAGAGAAACCAGAAACTGCAGAAGATGACAGACTTTATCAAGAAATAAAAAATGCTGCAAGGAAGATAAAGGTCAGAGTTAGAGATGACAGTGTAACGTTATCAAGGAAGAATCAGATAAACAAAGAAAAGAAACCAAGAACTACAGAAGATGACAGACTTTATCAAGGAAATAAAAAAAATGCTGCAAAAAGGAAGATCAAGGTCAAGTTACAGATGACATGTAACGATAAATCAAAGGAAAAGAACTGCAGATAATGACAAACTGTCAAGGAAGTAAAAAAAGAACTGCAGGAAGATGACAGACTATATCAAAGAAGAAAGATAAAACAAAAAAAAAGAACTTGCAAGGAAGATCAAGAGGTCAAAAAAATGCAAGGAAGATAAGGTCAAAGTTACAGATGACAAGGAGAATCAGATAAAACAAAGAAGAAAAACAAGAACACAGAAGATGACAGACTTTATCAAGGAAAAAAAAAATGCTGCAAGGAAGATAAGGTCAAGAGTTACAGATGACGGTGTAACGTTATCAAGGAAGAATCAAGATAAAGCAAAAGAAGAAAACCAAGAACTGCAGAAGATGACGACTTTATCAAAATAAAAAATGCTGCAAGAAGATAAAGGTCAAGAGTTACAGATGAACGGTGTAACGTTATCAAGAGAAGAATCAGATAAAAGCAAAGAAGAAACCAGAACTACAGAATGACAAAATTCTAAATCGATAAAAAAATGCTACAAGGAAGATAAAGTCAAGAGTTACAGATGACAGTGTAACGTTATCGGAGAATCAGATAAAGCAAAGCAAGAGGAAACCAAGAACTGCAGAAGATGACCAGACTTTATCGAGGGTAAAAAAAATGCTGCAAGGAAAGATAAGGTCAGAGTTACAGATGACAGTGTAACGTCATCAAGAAGAGAATCAGATAAAAGCAAGAAAGAAAGCCAAGAACTGCAGAAGATGACAGACTGTCAAGAAATAAAAAAAATGCAAGGAAGATAAGGTCGAGTTACAGATGACGGTGTAACGTTATCAAGGAAGAGAATCAGATAAAACAAAGAAAGAAACCAAGAACTGCAGAAGATGACAGACTATCAAGGAAATAATAAAAATGCTGCAAGGAGAAGTAGGTCAAAGGTTACAGATGACGGTGTAACGGTATCAGAAGAATCAGATAAAAAAGCAAAGAAGAAAACCAAGAACTGCAGAAGATGACAGACTTTATCAATAAAAAAAAAAATTGCTGCAAAGGAAGATAAGGTCAAAAATTTACAGATGACGGTGTAACGTTATCAAGGAAGAATCAGATAAAACAAAGAAAGAAAAAGAACTGCAGAAGATGACAAGACTTTATCAGGAAATAAAAAATACTGCAAGGAAGATAAGGTCAAGTTACAGATGACAGTGTAACGTCATCAAGGAAAATCGAATAAAGCAAAGAAAGAAACCAAGAACACAGAAGATGACAGACTTTATCAAAATAAAAAATGCTGCAAGGAAGATAAGGTCAAGTTACAGATGACAGTGTAACGTTATCAAGGAAGAATCAGATAAAACAAGAAAGAAACCAAGAACTGCAGAAGATGACAGACTTTATCAAGGAAATAAAAAAAATGCTGCAAAAAGATAAGGTCCAAAGTTACAGATGACAGGAGAATAACGTCAAGCAAAGAAATCAGATAAAGCAAAGAACTTTATCAAAAAGAAAACCAAAAGAACACAGTGAAGAAAGAGACTTTATCAAAGAAATAAAAAAACTTGCTGCAATAAAAATGCTAAGGAAGATAAGGTCAAAGTTACAGATGACAGTGTAACGTCATCAAGGAAGAATCAGATAAGCAAAGAAGAAAACAAGAACACAGAAGATGACAGACTTTATCAAAAAAAAAAATTGCTGCAAGAAGATAAGATCAAGTTACAGATGACAGTGTAACGTTATCAAGGAAGAATCAAATCAAAAGCAAAGAAAGAAACCAAGAACTGCAGAAGATGACAGACTTTATCAAGAAATAAAAAAATGCAAGGAAAGATAAGATCAAGTTACAGATGACAGTGTAACGTCATCAAAGGAAAATCAGATAAAACAAGAAGAAAACCAAGAACTACAGAAGATGATTTATCAAAGAAAGAAAAAATGCTGCAAAGGAAGATATAGGTCCAGAGTGTTGCAGATGAGCAGTGAACCGTTATAAAGGAAAATCAGATAAAAGCAAAGAAGAAACCAAAACTGCGAAAGATGACAGACTTTGTCAAAATAAAAAATACTTACCAACGAAGAGAAGGTTGGAAGAGGTACAGATGACAGTGTAACGTCATCAAGGAGAGAATCAGATAAAAGCAAAGAAGAGAAACCAAGAACTTCATAAGATGACAGACTTTATCAAGGAAATAAAAGATGCTGCAACGAAGAGAAGGTCAGAGGGTACAGATGATGGTGTAACGTCATCAAGGAGAGAATCAGAACTGCAGAAAAAAAGAAAAACCCCAAGAAGATTCAAAGTTAAGATGACAGACTTTATCAAAGGAAATAAAGCAAAGATGCTGCAACGAAGAGAAGGAAATAAAAAAAGGCAAGGAAGATAAGGATGACAGTGATGACGTGTAACGTCATCAAGGAGAGAATCAGATAAAGCAAAGAAGAGAAACCAAGAACTTCAGAAGATGACAGACTTTATCAAAATAAAAAGATGTTGCAACGAAGAGAAGAGTCAGAGTTACAGAATGACAGTGTAACGTTATCAAGGAGAGAATCGATAAAGCAAAGAAGAGAAACCAAGAACTGCAGAAGATGACAGACTTATCGGAAATAAAAAATGCAACGAAGAGAAGGTTCAAGGCACAGATGACAGTGTAACGTCATAAGGAAGAATCAGATAAAAGCAAAGAAGAAAACCAAGAACTTCATAAGATGACAGACTTATCAAGGAAATAAAAAAATGCTGCAACGAAGAGATGGGTCAAAGAGTTACAGATGACAGTGTAATGTTATCAAGGAGAGAATCAGATAAAAGCAAAGAAGAGAAACCAAGAACTTCATAAGATGACAGACTTTATCAAAGGAAATAAAAAATGCAAGGAAATAGGTCAAAACAGATGACGGTGTAACGTTATCAAACGAAGAGAAGGTCAAGAGGTCAAGGTTACAGATGACAGTGTAACGTCATCAAGGAGAGAATCAGGATAAAGCAAAAGAAGAGAAACCAAGAAACAGACTTTATCAAGCACCACCAAGAAGATAAGGTCCAAGAGTTACAGATGACAGTGTAACGTTATCAAGGAGAAATATCAGAAATAAAAAGATGACAAAGACTTTATCAAGGAAATAAAAAACAAGAAGATAAGTCAAGAGAAGGTCGTTATCAAGAAAGGCCAGATGACAGACTTTATCAGGAAGTAAAAACAAGAAGATCATCAAAGGAGAGACGTCATCAGGAATAAAGATAAACAAAGAGAAACCTAGAACTGCACAAGATGACAGACTTTATCAAGGAAATAAAAAAATGCTGCAACGAAGATAAGGTCAAAAGAGTTACAGATGACAGTGTAACGTCATCAAAGGAGAGAATCAGATAAAGCAAAGAAGAGAAATAAGAACTGCATAAGATGACAGACTTTATCAAAGGAAATAAAAAAATGCTGCAACGAAGAGAAGATCGAAAGGTTACAGATGACAGTGTAACGTTCATCAAGGAGAGAATCAGATAAAGCAAAGAAGAGAAACCAAGAACTGCAAGAAGATGACAGAGACAGTGTAAACGTTATCAAAGGAAATAAAGCGAAAAAAATGAACTGAAAATGGAAAGATAAGGTCAAGAGTCATAGATGACAGTGTAACGTTATCAATGAGAGAATCAGATAAAGCAAAGAAGAGAAACCAAGAACTGCAGAAGATGACAGACTTTATCAAAGGGAAATAAAAAATGCTGCAAGGAAATAAGGTCAAGAGTTAAGATGACAGTGTAACGTTATCATGAGAGAATCAGATAAAGCAAAAGAAGAAACCAAGAAAGGAGAAGATGACAGACTTTATAAGGAAATAAAAAAATGAGCGATAAAGATAAGGTCAAAGAGTTACAGATGACAGTGTAACGTTATCAAAGGAGAATCAGATAAAGCAAAAGAAGATGAAGACCAAGAACAAGAAGATGCAGAAGAATCAGTAACGTTAATCAAGGAAATAAAAAACTGCAGAAGATGACAGCAGAAATAAAAAAAGGAAGATAAGGTCAAGAGTTACAGATGACAGTGTAACGTTATCAAGGAGAGAATCAGATAAAATGAAGAGAAACCAAGAACTACAGAAAGATGACAGACTTTGTGAAATAAAAAATGCTACTGCAAGGAATAAGATCCAAGAGTTACAAGATGACAGTGTAACGTCATCAAGAAGATAGATGAAACGAAGAAATAACCAAGAACTGCAGAAGATGACAGACTATCAAGGAAATAAAAAAAATACTGCACCAAAGGAAGATAAAGGTCAAGTACAGATGACAGTGTAACGTTATCAAGGAAAGAAATCAGATAAAGCAAAGAAGAAAACCAAGAACTACTGCAGAAGATGACACAGACTATATCAAGGAAGCCAATAAAATGCTGCCACCAAGGAAGATAAGAATGACGAGAGTCAATTGATAAACAAGGATCCCAACTCTAAAAAACAAGTATTAGACAAGACACAATAATGTAACTGGTATATAAAAAAAAGCCAATGTATTTATTTGAAAAAAATAAGAAACAGATCAATTGATAAAAATGGTCCAAACCAAATGAAAAGTATTAAACTGACACAATAATGAAATGACGAGTATAAAAAAAAAGCAAATGTATTTATTTGCAAAATGACAAGACACAATAATTGATAAAAAAAGATCCCAACTCTAAAAAACAAGTATTAAACAAATCCTAAAACACAAAAAATGTAACAAATGTATATAAAAAAAAAGCCAATGTATTTATTTGAAAAAAATGAGGAGAGTCAATTGATAAACATGGATCCCAACCCTAAAAACAAGTATTAAAACAACACAATAATGAAACTGGTATATAAAAAAAAGCAAATGTATTTATTTCAAAATGACGAAAACAATTGATAAACAAAGATAAAAGTTACTCTAAAAAACAAGTATTAAAACAAGACACAAAAAGATATTTGGTATATAAAAAAAGAAGCCAATGTATTTATTTGAAAAAATCAAGTCAATTGATAAATAATGGATCCCAACAAGAAAATTTACTTGAAAAAGGATGACAGTGATAAACATGGATATCAAAAATTAAACTGACACAAAGAAAACTGGTATATAAAAAAGAAGCAAATGTATTTATTTACCAAAATGACGAGAGACAATTGATAAACAAGGATCCATCTCTAAAACAAGTATTAGACAAGACACAATAATGTAACTGGTATATAAAATGACCCAATGTATTTATTTGAAAAAATGAGAATCACAATAAATAAACATGGATCCCAACCCTAAAACAAGTATTAAACTGACACAATAATGAAACTGGTATATAAAAAAAGAAATGTATTTATTTGCAAAATGACGAGAGTCAATTGATAAACAAGGATCCCAACTCTAAAAACAAGTATTAGACAAGACACAATAATGTAACTGGTATATAAAAAAAGCCAATGTATTTATTTGAAAAAATGAGGAGAGACAATTGATAAACATGGATCCCAAACCTAAAAAACAAATTAAACTGACACAATAATGAAACTGGTATATAAAAGAAGCAAATGTATTTTTTCAAAATGACGGGAGTCAATTGATAAACAAGGATCCCAACTCTAAAAACAAGTATTAGACAAGACACAATAATGTAACTGGTATATAAAAAAAAGCCAATGTATTTATTTGAAAAATGAGAGAGTCAATTGATAAACGGATCCCAAACCTAAAAACAAGTATTAAACTGACACAATAATGAAACTGGTATATAAAAAAAGCCAATGTATTTATTTGCAAAATGACGAGAGTCAATTGACAAACAAGGATCCCAACTCTAAAAAACAAGTATTAGACAAAGACACAATAATGTAACTGGTATATAAAAAAAGCCAATGTATTTATTTGAAAAAAATGAGGAGAGTCAATTGATAAACATGGATCCCAACCCTAAAACAAGTATATTAAACTGACACAATAATGAAACTGGTATAAAAAAAAGAAGCAAATGTATTTATTTGCAAAATGACGAGAGTCAATTGATAAACAAGGATCCCAACTCTAAAAAACAAGTATTAGACAAAGACACAATAATGTAACTGGTATATAAAAAAAAAAGCTAATGTATTTATTTGAAAAAAATGAGGAGAGTAAATTGATAAAATGGATCCTAACCCGAAAAAACAAGTATTAAACTGACACAATAATGAAACTGGTATATAAAAAGAAGCAAATGTATTTATTTGCAAAATGACGGAAGTCAATTGATAAACAAAAGATCAACTCAAAAACAAATATGAACCAGACACACAATAATAACTGAGATATAAACAAGCGCCAAAGTATTTATTTGAAAAAAAGAGAAGAAATTGATAACTTATGGATCCCATAATAAGAGAAGTAACAGAAAAGAGAGAACAATAATAAAACTGGAAGATAAAAGGAGAAACAAATAATAAGTTGCAAAATGACGTGAGAATCAGATATGAGAAACAAGGGATCATCTCTAAAAGAACTGATAATAAAATAAGCAAAGAGGGAGAAAGGGAGAATGTATTTATTTGAAAAATAAGGGTAGTCAATTGATAAAGCATCAAAGAACCAAAAAACAAAGGAGAATCAGATAATAATGAAACTGGTATATAAAGATGAAATTAAATAAAAGGTTCAGTTCAAAATTGCCTGTAGGTTACCCAAATCAATATACACCTGATGAAGATTGGAGGCCACAATGGTCAAAACATTGTGATAACAACAACAAAAAAACAGGGCAATAGTCTGAATGTAAATAGTGTAAAGATAAAACCCACTTTTCCCAAGTATTAGAATTTCATCTTTTTTAATAAATGCAGAAAAATAAACTTTTTGAACTAAGTCTAGAAGGGAATATATATGAAATTCCAATAACATTTATGTCCAATGTACTGCCAGACAATTTTCTTAATCTTTCCTAGTGAAGATTTTACAGCTGAATTTGTTCCTTCTAGGCAAGCTGTGTTACACAAGGTGGTTTAACTTTTTGTCTTATACATTTATCAGTCAGATTAATATGAGCCACTTCTCCCATTTTTTGCTCATTCCCTATAGAAGACTCCAAAAGAAAACCAGAAAACTTCTACAGAAGATAGCAAACAAAAGTTAAAAAGAAAGGACTATTAACTGTAAGAAAATAAAATGTATGGATGTCAGCAAGAAGCAAGAGCCAAAGTTGGAGCTTTGAATTAACAACAACAGAATTAAGCTTTTACAGAAATGAAACTGTCAAGGTAGTGTAGTAACAGAGGACAGAAAGTGTGACATTAAATGTCAGAAGGCACATTGAAAATAGCCAAAGTTGCCTTTAAGAAACTAAGCAAAGCATTATGAAATAGGAATATTTTGTTAGAAACAAAGAAAGAGATTTTTCAATATGGCATCAGTGAGTGTTGGTAAATTTCTTTACAGATGAAGAAGAGACTTGAAGAGGCAAAGATGTGGTTCTACAGAGGGATGCTGAGCATACCATAGATAGAAGATGTAAGCAACAAAGAAGTTCTAAAGAAAAATGGAAATTAGAATAACACTAATACTTAAAATCAGATAGAGACAGTTAAAATTTCTGAGCACATTATGAGGAAGTATGGCTTGGAAAATTTAAACCTCCCAAGATATACTGTGAAAAGGAAGGGTTTGAGGAAAGCAGTAACTTAGAGAAATATATGTGTGTATTCAAACACTTATATATAAGTTATAAGGAATAAAGAGGAATAGTAAATAAATAAAACATTGTTTAGAGTAACAAAGAACAAGACAATGAGTAGAGCCATGATCACACATACCCTGAAACAATATTCTTTCTCCAGATATGATCTGCTTACAAGATTTTTTTTTATTTTATCTTTAGATATTTTATGTTTGGTAAGTCTGATTTTAAGCAAACACTAGATTGGTTCACTTTGATTTATATGGGATGTTATCGTATGCAATCTCTATTTATCCATTTTTCTTGCAAAGGAAACAACATTAGTAAGGAGGTTGCAAAGAAAGTTATATTACTGAAAACCATCTTGATGTTTTAATATCCACAAAATCTTTTGGATTAATTCAGACACCTATGGTAATTTCTTATATTACATTTCCTAGTTGTTCAGATTACCATTAACATTTCCTTTTCACTTTTCTTCTTAAAATTAAGTATTCCAGAAATTATCATAAGTAATGGAAGTTTCAGTTTACTCAAAGATTTGAGCCATTTTAAGGTTTTGTTAAGATTTGAGCCATTTTTTTGTTTTGTTTGTTTTCAAAAATGGCAAAATGGCAAAAGTAATCATTTTAGCTGTTTAGATTATCATCAAATAAGTTTAATTATCTCTGTCTTCTTAAAAATTCTGTATTTCACAAATTGTTTAAATAATGGAAGCTCTGCCTAAATTTGAATACTGTTTTGTTTTATCAACTTGTAGAATAATGGAAGTTTAGTTTGCAAATCAAAATCAAAAGATAAAAATAAAAGAAAAAAAAGAAATAATAAATAGTTTTAGAAAGAAACTTGTTACCTTCCAGTTTTAAAACATATTTCAAATTTTCAAATTAATAAAATAAAGAATGGCCAATAAAATTAAATCCCAAAAAAAATAACATAAACACCCTTGTAGCCACACAAAGCCATATAAACCAAAGACATAAATTCAACTCAGAAAAGTAAGAAAAGAGACATTAAATCAACCTTGTCATCCTGTCTTCTTAGCAAAACAACATTGGATTTAATAAATTGTCTCCCAACTCTTCCTCACTGAAAACTATTTATGTTCAATTCCTTTTCAATAAAAAAGAAAAAATATTCTTAATGCAAACTTTTCTTTTGGATAGCAATTACTGTTATGAATTTGTGTATTTTATGTTAAATAAATATTGAAATTTATAATAAATAAATATTGTCATTTTATTTCAGTACACAGCACGACTTTCTCATTTTTTATTCAACAAATGGGGACTCATGGAATTTTACCCAACAAACTTTTTTAACAAATAGTAAAAGAAATGATGGTTTAATAACCTTTTTACTTTTTCTCAGAAACTTTTTTTTGATCTTCTTAATTTTTGTTCATTTTTTTTTTTTTATCTTGTCATCTTTGGATCAGAAGGTAGGTTTGCTCAGATTTTAATTTTGTGTTAATATTTTTTGGCTTTTAACAAATAGTTAAAGAAATATGAAATCGTTATTTTACTGTAAGTACTTTTACATCTGCATAATTTAAATCAGGACCAGGATTTTTTTAAATAAACACCCTAGAGAAGGGTGTGGAATAAACGAAAGGGGATCCATTGATAATAAATTTTTTTTCAGCACTGTTTTATACATGAAACCATTTAAAGAAATAATTATTTTAGACTGACGTTACAATTTCAGACACAAACTAATAATATACATTATGTATCTGCATAAATAGTATGGGGTGTACTACACAAGAATCCCCAATGAGTTTAGAATCCTAAAAGGACTAGTTTCAGCAGTGTTTTTTTTTTTTTTTTTTTTTTTTTTCCTTTTTTTCTATCCAGTTATATTGTAAATCATCTACTATAATAATTGACAGGCCCAGCTTAACCCCAAAGCTCAATCAATGGGGCATAAACATCCTACTGTGGATGGGTGGTAGAAATGCTAATTTCAGTAGTTCTTATTTTTTAATTGTAATTTTCTATCAGAACAGTTTTTTTAAATCAATTAAGAGAGGGGAATATATTTCTGTAAAATAATTTTTATTCCAAGATCATCCACAAACGTGAATCTGATTTTTCAAAATGAAATAATGGCAATACTAACCAGAAGGTCGACGGCTAGTAATGAAAATAAAATTTCTAGTCCCTATTTTTTACATTTTTAGAAAGATAAAAACCAAGAAAATAAATAAAGGTTAAATAAAAATGTTTAAAGATTTCAACACATGGAAAATTTTCCCGAAAACTGAAATACTGTTTTTAAAATGATGACAATCCTGTTTCCAGAAGAATCAGAAATCAAAAAAACTTTTCTTCCAGCAGAAATGTTGAGAGCAATTAATCTTATGGAAATCTAAAAATTTAGAACTTAAAACATTTTCTAAGTAAAAATTTAGTCATGAAAAAAATATTAATAGTTATTACAAAAAGAAAACATTTTCTCAAATTTTTTTACAAAAAAAACTATTCATTATAAAGATAAATAATAATAGATAAGTACTGAAATTTTAATTTAAATTGGATAATTGAGAGAATCAGAAAATTTAAAAATCGAGGATAATAAATAAGGTTGAGAGAATCAGAAAACAAACGAAGGTGGGAGGATAAATAAATGTTTTTGAAACGAAATCGAGGATAATAAAAAGCAAATAATGCTTAAGCAATAAAGGATAATAAATAAGGTTGCAAGAGAATGAGAAAACAAAACGAAATCGAGGATAATAAATAAGGTTGAGAGAATCAAAAAAAAAACGAAATCGATTTTAATAAATAAGGTTGAGAGAATCAGAAAGCAAAAAAATCGAGGATAATAAATAAGGTTGAGAGAATCAGAAAGCAAAACGAAATCGAGGATAATAAATAAGGTTGAGAGAATCAGAAATCTTGCTGAAATCGAGGATAATAAATAAGGTTGAGAGAATCAAATGACAAAAAAATCGAGGATAATAAATAAGGTTGAGAGAATCAGAAAAAATTGACGAAATCGAGAAGGAAATAAATAAGGTTGAGAGAAAAAGAAGAAAAAAGCACTGAAATCGAGGATAATAAATAAGGTGAGAAGAGAATCAGAAACTTCAAAAAATCGAGGAAAAGCTTTGTAAGGCTTTCCCATTTTGCTGTTCGAGGATAATAAATCAGAGAATCAGAAAAAAACGAAATCGATTAATAATAAATAAGGTTGAGAGAATCAGAAAGCAAAAGAAATGAGGAATAAAGAGAAAATATAAGAATCAGAAAGAAAAGAAATCGAGGATAATAAATAAGGTTGAGAGAATCAGAAATGAAAAGAAATCGAGGATAATAAAAGGTTGAGAGAATCAAAAAGAGAGAAATCGAGGATGAAAAGGTTGAGAGGAGAAAATAAACGAATGCGAGGAGAAAAATGAGAAAAGAAAGCAAAACGAAATCGAGGATAATAAATAAGGTTGAGAGAATCAGAAAGCAAAAGAAAAAGAAATCGAAAAAATAAAGTAAGGAAGAGAAAAAAGAAAAAGAAAGAGGAGAAATAATGAGAGAAGAAGGTTGAGAGAAATAATAAAAAGTTGAGAGAAGAGAAAATCGAGGATAATAAATAAGGTTGAGAGAATCAGAAAACAAACGAAATCGAGGATAATAAATAAGGTTGAGAGAATCAGAAAAGCAAAAGAAATCGAGGAAAATAAATAAGGTTGAGAGAATCAGAAAGCAAAAGAAATCGAGGATAATAAAGCAAAGGAAGAGAGAATCAGAAAACAAAAGAAAGAGGATAATAAAGAAGTTGAGAGAATCAGAAAGCAAAAAACGAAATCGAGGATAATAAATAAAG